TCTTCAACTCCATCCACTCCCAATATCTTTTGTTTCCCTGGTAGCACTATATCTTTCTTCAAATTTGAAGGGTCTTTCACATAAAACACTTGTGCCACGCGATTGGCGAGTACCCAAGGGTCATCCTTGTGACCCATACTCGCAAGGTCAACAAAAGTAAGACCGAACTTATCAACATTGACCCCGTTCGGGTATTTTACCCACTGGCACTTAAATATGGGGAATTGCATTGTGTGCCCATAGTCGATTTCCCATATTTCTTCAATAAACCCGAAGTATGATTGTTTTTCCCCGGCTTCATCAATTGTCTCCACACGGACACTGCTGTTTTGCATACAGGTCTTATTATCTCGGGCTCTTGTGCTAAACGAATATCCATTAATGTCATATCCCTGCCAAGAATTTACTGTAGTTGATGGACCACAAGCCAACCGCTTCATAGTTATTTCATCGGTAGTTTCTCCCTCAGGTAAGTCTAGGTCTCGCAACCAATCTATGAAGAGACGCTTGTGTTCTTTCATTATCCACTCGGTGGAGCGACCCTTATTGTTAGCTCGTATTAGTTCGATATGTTGATCGATGTACGGCTCGACGATAGCAAACTGATGAAGCACGCTGAAGTGAGCTTCTTGGAATGATTTGTGATCATGGGTGACGAATCTCTTCTTTCCTATCGTTCCCCTGCCCTCAATCTGCCCTCGTGTCGGGGCACAGGTACTCCAATTGCATATCCATCTTTGAGGTAATCGATAAAACACTCGACAACCTCTTCAGTACTATAACCCTCAACCATTGATCCCTCTGGATGTGCACGATTTCGGACGTAACCCTTCAGAACCGCCATGTAACGCTCGTATGACCACATTTGATGGAGGTACAATGGGCCAAGCGCAACCATCTACGGCACAATGTGAACAATGAGGTGCTCCATCATATCAAAAAATGACGGAGGGAAACACATCTCAAGTTGGCACTGGGTCTCATGTGCGAATGTACGGAGATTTCCTAACTCTTCGAGACTAATGACCTTCTATGACACTGCGTTGAAAAAGTAGCACAACCTTGTGATAGCAACCTTTAAATGCTCGCCCTTCTTCATGCCAGCGCATTAGTTCCGCATCTCGCGGGTTTGAGTATATTTGTTTAATGCGGTCTTTGACAGGAAGGTACCACATTACAAGCTGCGGGATTTTTCTCTGTCGTCCCTCAATTGCTTCAGAGGGTTCTAGGCCAGTATTGCTATTTGACTTGTACCGGCTTGCACCGCATGTTGGACATTCATCCAAAGAAGCGTACTCTTTCCTGTACAGTATGCAGTGATTTACGCACGCATGAATCTTTTCCACACCAAGTAAAAGGGGGCATATGAGTTTCTTTGCTTGATATGTGCTGGATGGTAGTGAGTTAGGCCTCGGTAGCATTTTCTGCAGAAGTTCTAACAGACTGTCGAAACTGGTATCAGACCATCCATGTCTCACCTTTAACTTCATAAGTTCAAGAACTGACCGGAGTGTTGTGAACTCACTGTCACAGCCCTTCGACTCATCGTACAAAACTTCCTTTGCTGCCTTCTGTAAAGCTTCAAAGTTATTTAGCCCTCTAGCCAACCCCATCAGCACCTCGAGTTCTGCATGACGTAACATTTCCTCTAGGTCGATTTTGTCCTCAACAGAACCATCGTTATGCACCATGTCTTCAACTTGTGTCGGAACTACATTTTCAGGCCCGTCCACTTGTTCTTCGCCATGAAGTGTCCATATTTCGTACTTGTCCATAAATCCACGAGTTACTAAGTGCTCATTCACTTTAAAAGCATCGTCAAAGTCCCAGGCTATTTCATTCTTACAGTCAGCACATGGACAAATTATCTTCCTCATATTGTTCTTCTCAGCGTGAACCTTGGCAATACCAATAAATTTAGCCACTTCGTTTCTATATGGAGACAAAAACCTCGGCCAATGATACATCCATTCCCGACTTTCCATATCTCTAAAAGTTACACGTAAAATATTTGCACAATTAATACCAAATTTGTAGGGTTCATTGAAAAACTTATCGCTATTCAAAACTAATTAACTAAAGGTTAAGTGTAAAGTAATAAAAAATCATAGTTTATTTCAATTTTTTTTACACAGACATGCCAAATTAGTACATTAGGAAAATCTAACAAAATCAAATCATCGGCATATTACAAAATACTATAACTATTTTTTGATTGCACCGAATAAATAGACATTTAAAATTTTATTCTCTCTCTATACATGACAAGATCTAGATCTAGATCTAGAACTAGGTGGTGGATATGATAGCAAAAATAAAAAAAAAATGAGAATTTATGTTACCATATTAAACCACTACAACAAGAGGCATCAAGTATTACACATACATCTAACATCAACATATGAAAAGAAATAAAATTAAAAAACATGGAGCTCTTCCTTCACAATTTTGGATGCATCGAGCTATTTTGCCGTAGGACCTCCCCTACAGTATCGTCACCGCAGTAGAGTTTAACCACCAAATTCGGGATGGATTGGTGAATAGACAAGTAGGACAGTGCTACCAGCTAGTTAACTCAGTTCATTCTTGACTTTCGGCTTGTAGCTTTGCTACGCAACCTCGCATTCGAAATTAGCACTATGACCGTCGGTGAAAAAGAATCAAAGAGAATGGTCCATGAATTGGCTGGGTTTATCAAAAGCACTGCAATGGATGGCAGAGGGTCCATAGTACCCGAAGCACTAGAGTGATCCAGTAGCTGGGAAGGGCGATTTTCTATTCACTCATGATCGGCCCTGACCTAGTCGACGTTTATAAAAAGAACATCACCTCCCTTTTTGGTTAGATACCGCTCCGTTAGGTACTAATGCTTCTACCTATCACCCATCCATCACAAATTAAGGTCTAAAAGCTTAAAAAAAATGCATACCTAGTGTGAAATGAGTAGATCTAAGTACCGTAGAAAAATTCCCCGAAGATTTGAAGTTCAAAACCTCCCCCTATATTTAAGTCACTTTAGGAGAGAGAAACGTCAGGGAGAATGAACAGGGCTCGGGGAGGAAGAAGACTATATAGGGGCATTTTTGCAGGCGGGCCATATAAGCGTCGCCTGCGAAGATCTATCTTCGCAGGCGCACGACGTCTGCCGCTTGCGAAGATCAATCTTCGCAGGCGACGCTTATATGGACCGCCTGCAAAGATCAATCTTCGCAGGCGGACCGCCCCCTCCACCCCGGGTACTTTTTTTGCCGGCGGGGTTTTGGCTCTGAATTACATGCCCGCCTGCGAAAATCGATCCCCTACGACGCCGAAAATGAGTTTTCTAGTAGTGTGGTGTCCCTTGCTTAATTTACTCTATTTTAGATCGAGTTTAAGCTAATACGAGTGTCTAAGTTTGTATTGAGGGGGTGCATACATGGTGAAAATAGATGAGGTATAGCTAAAAAAATTTCTTGACTGGGTTCCTGGGCACCCCCCTAATATATACTAGCTCCGCCCCTAGTGGCGGTGGTCAACGTCGGGTGCTTTCACCGGCGGTGCATGCTGGCGAGTGAAGGTGCAACTATAAGGGGAATCCAGCGGCAGGCGACGATGGAGATAAAGGTGCGGTGGGAGACGTTCCTCGAGCTTTGTCCAGCCTCTCTTCGCTGGACGTCGTCTCTCACTCTCGTCGCCACCATCTCCCATCGGCGCCGCCGTATGGGGTCGTGGGCTCACTACGCGCCGCCACTAGAGCTCGCCGTCATCTAGCTGGCAACCGTAGAAGCACCAGCACCAGGTCAAAACAAGCTCTTCTTGCCCGTCTCCAAGTCGAATTGTTCCCAACTCCAACGCCAAGCCGCTAATACCGTCGTGCTAGCCATCTTCTCTCCATCTACTACTTTGATTTGCTAGCTGAGCCAAACAAGTTGGCTCGAGCTTTCAAATGAGACGAGCCTCATCAGCTCATTATCCTAACGATTTAGACCGAACTGAGCCGGGGTGACTCGCTATCCACCCCTACTTGCAGCCACACGAGAAAATATTGTTGGCCAACCGGTCAGCCATGTGGAGATCAAAACCAAGCTAATTACTGCTGCTGCTGCATGCTGAATGCAGTAAGATGTACTCCGTTGTCTCCTACGTAATAATACATCTACATACTAGAGTATAGTAATACGTTGAAAAATATAGGAACATTTATAGTACTAAACTAGTCTTATTAAATTTAGCATTAAAATATATTTTAATAGTTGATTTGTTTTATATTGAAACTATTTTTATATTTTTCTATAAACTTAAACGAAGCCAAAATAATTAATTTTAAAATAAAACTATGAAACGGAGGTCGTATTACACATGCGGCACAGGACAAATTCAACAGCGACAAGAGAACGAAGCGGACAGGAGGGAGCTGCAAGCCTGCGTCGTGCGGCAACAGTGGAGAATCCGGGCGTGTCGTGCCAATCCGGTTTGGCAGCGGCTGCGCTGCAGGGAGATGTGCACACTGTAGCAGCGTCGTGCAGCGGTGGACGGCGAAGGAATCCTGACAGGTGCCAAAACCCTCCTTAGATCCGGGGGACCCCCACCCACCATACACGCATGCGACCCACTGGCACGCGGACGGGTAGGAATAGGATGTGGTAGCATCCGAGGAACAGGGGCAGTTTCGTCTCGCCGGCGTTGTATTTCCACATCAACGTGATATGAGTAGGCTTGCTGCTACGGTACGAAGCATGGGTGATGGCCTGATGGCTACACGACTGCGTCGGTGACTCGGTGTGGCTCTAGATCGAGTCGGTACGGTATTGGTTTGTTGACTCGTACTCTCGTACTGGTCATTGGGCGGTACACGTGTATCTTTATCTGAACCGATAATGGTGCTATCCATAACGATCAACGGTGCCTTCACAAAATCACAAGCGAATGATTTTACTGCCTTGCTAGAACTTCCAAAGATACCCGCTTCAGAAAGGCTTTCACCGTCTCCACTCCACCAAACAGAAACACAGAATGCATAATGTGTGATTACGATCAGGCAGAGTGGTACACAGGTACTGTAGTCTGTACCCTGTACCTATTACCACCATTTTAAGCGAACACCATCAAACTCATAAATAACCTGCCACTCACTCGCTGCACACTAGTCCTTCAGTTTCAGTCCCCTCGCATCGCCATAACCACCTCGCCCAAATCGAAGCACACTAGAGAGCCACAAGACCCCTCCTCCCGACACAAACAACCAACCACACTACCCTTCGCGCTGGTCTCGACCACCGGAGATGGCCGCCTAGCTAGTGTGCCGGTGGCAGCTGGAAGGCATGGGCTGCTGCTTCAGCAAGAAGCGCAGGAAGCAGCTGGCCAGTGCAGCTGTGTTCTCCCGCCGCTGCAAGCCGCCGGCCGAGGCCCGCGACCCGCCGCCCCCGCCGCCGTTGCCGGAGGAGGAGAAGGTCAAGGAGGTGCTCTCCGAGACCCCGAGCGCTAAGGTCAGGGCCGAGGCGAAGCCCGTCGCCAATGTGGCTGTCTTGGAGGAGCCGGAGGCGGAGAAGCAGGCGCCGAAGCCTAGCGCCGATGCGGATGTCACGGTGAGCGATCTTGGTAGCTGCATGTCGCTCGCCACCGACGATAGGTCCGAGGCGGCGTCCGAGTCGTCCGTCGCGACCAGCTCGGTGACCGGGCCAGAGCGGTCGCCGGGGAAGCCGGCCAGGAGGAAGCGCCCGGTGTCCGTCTCCGGCGAGCTGGCCCATGCCATTTCCCGGCGCGACCGCGCCGCCGCCGCCGCCTACGGCGTCCGCTCCCGCAGCGCCCGGGCCTCGGCGTCCCCTCCGCCGCGGCGCGAGCAACGGGACCGCTCAGTGCGGAGGTCGCCGTCGCCGGCAGCGAAGCGTACACCGGAGCAGCGCCGCGCCGCGAGCCCAGCCCCGTCCCTCCAGCGGAAGCCGCCCGTCCCGGTGAGGCCGTCGCCGCGGCGGGTGCAGGAAGCGCCTCCTTCTCCGCTCGAGCCCCCGCCTCCACCACCTCCGCAGCCAGAAGAGGACGCCATGACCGCCGACGGCGAGCCCAGCATTGCGGACGCCGCCAGCGCCGGCGGCGACGGCGAGGGGAAGGAGTCGCTGGACAACCCGCTGGTGTCCTTGGAATGCTTCATCTTCCTCTAGTGGCGCTGCACTACCGCCGTCGTGTCCTCCTTCGTCAGGTGGCATCGCGCTATTTTCCTTTGAAAATGTTGCGCTAATCTTGTTTAGTTTAGATGTTCTGTGTTAAGCTGGTGTGGTAATTAGTGGGTAAACTACTTGTGGTGGTGTAATGCTACTGTCATATTCCGGTTATTAACCTATGTCGGGTGGAATGACAGCAGCTTTGACTTTTGGCGTAGGATGGGCCCTCCGATTGGAATTGGACGGCGCTTGAACGTTGGATGTTTCTTTTTGGCTTTTGGACTAGCCCTCGCTGTATTTTGTAGAGCTCTTTTTCACTAATCGTCAATTCGTCATGTCTAACCTCTGTTCCCATGTGGAGTCTACCAACAATGTGCACGCCATCACATGGCGACCTCACATTTTCTGACTTGTTCGGTGCGTGAGTCATCGGATACTTTCACTTTCGCCCCCTGCCCATGCTGCGCCATCGAACAATGTTTCCGTCAGGGACATCCATCCATGCATGCAGCTTTTCTGATCTCATCCCCAGATTCAGCACAGGATCAGATCTGCCAAAGGAGCCCGTCAACCTAGGCAAACAGATCTAGCGCCCGGGATGTGTGCGCTGGTGTTAAACAAACCGCCAATGCTCCGCTTAAAATTCTCATCAAGGTGACATGCGGCGCATCATGGCGCTGCACGAGGCCGCGCGGGTCGACAGTTCTCGGGATCGCGCCTTGGTTTTGGTTCGCCCGTAGCGCGCACCGTCCTGTCGACTCGGAGCAGAGCTGCGCTGCGGGCCTGCGGCTGCACCCGCTTGCTCTCGTCCCCGTCGTCGTTATGCTGATCTGCGTTGCGCGCTTGTCTCCCGTGTAAAGATTTCGCGCCGCATGCGAGCTCACGGGAGCAACGTCTGTGTTGGACTGATGGTTGTTGGTTCCGGTATCAACATCTGACTGCTGTTCGGATGTTCGGTGGTACGAGACCTGAAGGATGGCACAGCACATGGATGCGGTTGGTTGAAGCCAAACCCCATTCATGCTGTCTGTAGGCCCACGGGAATTCATCGAGCAAGTCAAGATTATCTGAATTTCTTCATGGCAAACCCGTGGTTTCCTGTAGGACAGTTAGCAGAATTTGGCACTAGTATTTGCTAGTACTGTCGCATGCTGGCAGCGACCAGAATGATGAACAGTGGTGCTAACACAGGGTGGATTTCTAATCATCGGCGAGGACTGTCCCAGTGCGTGCGTGATTGATTGGTCTCTACCTAGCTGTAGCCCGTAAGAGCCGAGCAGAACCGGTTCAATACATACTGGCCATACTGCTACGTGGGTCTGTTTGTCATGTGGGCCACACTGTCCCGTATTAGTGTCTCACGTAATCCAAGCTTACAAATCAGGATTCCTTGTATTGCGGCCGGGAGAATGGAGATATTATTATCTCCATCCTGCTTGGACCTGCGGATTCTAGATGTAGAACCTTTCGTCCTGAGTTCTGACTTTTTCATCGAAAGGGGCGGAACGTTGTCCTACTTCGCCGTCTGGTTTGATAAAATACGGTGAAATTCATGCTCGCGGCGGCTAGTGCCTTCACTTCAGCCGTTTGTCCACGGCAAGCGTCCAACCTGTAGCCTCGTACGATAGAGGCCGTGAATCCGTTATATAAAGAGGACGCTTAATTTTGGGGCCTCCCTTAAACTGCCCTGGGCTGTAACGTCTTCTTAAATGGGCTGGGTTATTAATTCAAGAAAAAAGTTTACTTAAGGTCCCTCAAGTTGTCGTTGAATTCCAAAATGTCCCTGAATCAGAATAACAGACATAACACATTCCTAATCTTGCAAAATCAGATCATATTGATCCTAGGATAGTATTGCTCCCAGTTTTGACTGACGTGGCGGCTGAGTCAACGTGGGACCCACATGGCCCCCGATTTTCCACCTTTCTCTCATCTCCCCATCTCGATCCAGGCCTCCAACCTGGAAGGGGGGGGGGGGGGGATAATGGGGAGAGGTTTGACAGTGCGACTTACGGGAGAAGAGGTGTGGTCGGCCTCCTGGTCTAGGGCTACACCCGTGCTGTGTGTGCCGCCTCGCGCATCATGCTCCCTGTGGTCTCAGCGTCCCTACTCGTCCGCCTCGACTACCAACACGTCTCCACCTGGTGTGTGTGTCCTCCCAGATTTCCATTGCTCTTCACCAAAGCCTCGCCATCATCCTCTCTCCCGCGACGGCAAAGCACTGCATCGTCATCGGGCACAACTGGTTTGCCTTCTACGACGACGAGGTTGCCCGCCTCGTGAATGCCCTCACCGTCGAGGAGATTCCCTTCCATTCGTTCCTCGGAAAGAATGTGGTAGTGTTGAAGGTCGTGTTCACGCCAAACCTGATGCCGAGCGGCTTCACTGTGGCGGCCATCACCAACCACGGTTGAGTCACTTACACGACTAGTGGGAACATCGGATGAACCTATGTCGAGTGTTCGCATCTTGGGGATCTCAGCTACGGACACTACTAACTCATGGGAGGCGGCAAATTGCATGTCCTTCGCCTCACCGTCGGCTATCGTTCCCAGTGAAAACTGGCATCCTTCGACCACTGTTTGACAAGCCTAGCAATGTGTTCTATCCGGTGGAATAAGATTGGGTTGCTGACACATAGGGCTAGCGTGGGTTCCACGCTGAATCAACAGTCACGTCAGTTAAAACCAGAAGCAATATTGTCTTGGGACATAATGTGGCCCGGTTTTGTACGATTAGAAATGTGCTATATTTGGTATTCCGGTTCAAGGACGATTTTGAAACTCAACAACGAGGAGGGATGTGAAGTAAACTTTTTCCTTAATTCACAAACCCAAAGAGAGGGTTGGGCTGTAACTCATAAAACTGAAGATTGGGTTGGGCTGTAAGCCTGAAACTCACAAACTGAAATGGAGATGGGCCATGGCCATATGACTTTTTTTCGGTTTTAGATTTTTTAAAAAAATATTTACAGAAATAATCTATCGGCCAAAAAAATTATAAAAATAGACCCTGCCACCCACCTCTGGGGCGGCAAGCTGACGTGGCAAACGGGGGAGGAACGGGCGGTGACGGAGGGAGGGTTTTTTGCAGGAAAACCCTTGCCGCCCTCTGGTGGGGCGGCAAGGGGCCCGAATGCAAAAAAGCCAGTCGGGGCCGGCTATTTTGCAGGCGGCCCCTTGCCGCCCTCTGGTCGGGCGGCAGGCCTCGCTGCCTATAAAAGGCCTGCTGCCTAGCCCCCAGCCCTCATTCTTCTCTCCTCAATTCCAGTGAAAAAAAAAAGAAGAGAGGGGAGGAGAAGAGAAGAAGGGGCGAAGCCCTGCCGGATTCAGACGCCGATTTCAGGTAATATTCATAGATCCTATATGTGACTATTGAGTTAAATAGTGTGTATTCTTTAAAAATTTGTTTGAATAAATGCATTATATTTTTAGGGTTTTAGTTGTACTAATCTAGAAGTGCGTATTGTAGATATCGGTAACTACGTAGATCTGCTAGTTTGGAATCAATACATTACCGTTGCATTGGCTTACACAAGAAGATATTACGTTGTAGATGTTTATTGCATGAAAGAGTAATATGATCTAGTTATTTCGTTGACAGATATGTCGAACAAACAAATATTCCAAGTTTACCATGGACCAGGAAACGTCCGTTACGGGCCAACTGGGGTAGATCTGTCAGATTTTATTGTATCAGAAAGGGGAATTGATAGACCGGCTGAGATGAGTGTACCTTCTATAAAATGATGGTTAATGAGGGGCTTGAGAGTTGATCCACAGACAAGTGACATAACAATCAATGTTATAGTAAGTCGGGCAACTGAGGGTTTTTATTGGGAACTAATGCCAGTTCAAAACTCTCGAGTGTGGAGATGGTATTTGGAAAATGCATTGCAATGCGGGTGGCCTCTAGCTTTGGTTCCGTTTGTTCACGCGAAGGATCCAGGTGTGCAGATGAACATGGATGATGGCGAGGGACCAAGTGCTGAAGTAAACGAGACTTCTGTGGAGGAGGTCAACGCACGAGAGGACGGGGGCGTAGTAGCTCCAGTGGGCATTCAACCAGGTGGAGTGGCCGACGAGGGGGAGACTGTCGGTGCCATTGTAGATGAAATGGAGAAGGAGGATTCTGACAACGAGCGTGTAGAGGAAGGTGATTCGTCAGATGATGAGACGGATATTAATCCAGCAGAATGGGCTAGTGAGGATTTTTCTGGGCTGATCGTCTCTGAAGAGGATAGTGTGAGATGGGAGTACAAAGAAAATGAGGTTATTCAGGGAGCGATTTATAGTAGAGCAGAAGATATGAAGGAGGCGGTAAAACATTTTGCAGTGTCACTTCATAGAGAGTTTTGGGTTGCCAAGTCGAACCGGTCGCAATATGAAGTTCGGTGTGTTAAGGAAAAAGATGGTTGTCCCTGGAGAGTGCACGCGTATAAGGGGAAATGGAAGGATTATTGGACAGTGTCAGTCGTTACCAAGCATACATGTTTTCTACCTAGTGTTCAGAAATACCACAGGAATATTACTTGTGCATTTGTTGCATCTGAGATGTATGCGCATGTCATCGATAATCTCACATATGAACCAAGGTCAATAATCCGACACATCGAAGAGACATATAAGTATACTATTAGCTATGCCAAGGCCTGGAGGGCCAAACAAAAAATAATAGAGATGAGATTTGGAACTTACGAAGCCTCGTATGACAATTTGTCACGCCTGCTTGGTGTTATCGAGGAAAGAAACCCTGGGAGCTCTTACGAAGTGAAGAAATTCCCCTTAATTGAACATCCTAGCAAGAGTGTGCTGTAAAGGGCGTTCTTAGCTCTACATGCATGCAAGATGGCATTCGTGAACTCTCGTCCTGTTCTCTGCATTGATGGGACATTCTTGACAGGAAAGTATCGGGGCCAGATACTAACAGCAATAGGGGTAGATGGGAACAATCAGGTATTGCCCTTGGCATTTGCTTTTGTTGAGAGTGAGAATACCGACAGCTGGTACTGGTTCCTGAAATTGGTTAAAACAAAAGTTGTTGGTATGAGGCCAAATGTGTGCCTGATACATGATAGTTGTTGGTATGACTTAATCGTCCTCTCGAGCTCCTCGGGGAACCGTTGGAGAGTCCCGGCTATCTCCGAGAGGCGCTGGGCGAGGCCCCCTTGGTTGGCGGCGTACTTCGCAGTCCGCCCGCCCCAGAGGCCCACTTGCCGGCCGGCGCGGTCTAGACGGGAGACGGCGTCCCGAAGCATGCTGGGCCCTACCTCGCCTGCCAAGCGGAGGGCCTCGACCTCCCCGGCGGACGAGTCTAGCGCGCCCTGCAGATCGGCGATGGTG